GAGACGCGGGTCAACGCCAATGAGGGTCAGCCAGGGCGGCGGATCTGGCAGGATCCTGCAGAGCCAGGGGTGCACCGACCCTGGTCAGCGTGCAGGGTGTTGCAGGATCCTGCAGTATTTTGCAGGATCCTGCAAAGCCTGACTGGCACGAGTTTGCACTGACCCTGGTCAGCAGAATCCCGACAGGGGAGGAGAAAATACGACTGTTCGTTCTTGAGAGCCCTTGGCGGGATTCTCCCCAAGATTCTAGACGCTCCGCGTATTTTCAGCCCGTCCAGAAACGGTGCCCAGGTGAGTTGCCCTGATCAGGGATGTGTAGGACCATGCAGTGGAATAGTGAGTTGGGGAAGCTGTCGTTTCCAAAAGGGGGGGTGGATGGGGGAGGACTTGTCGTCGTCATCGTCGTCGTTGTTGTTGCCGTTGTCGGAGGAGTATGAGGAGAAGGGGGAGGAAGGGAGGGCGACATGGACAGAGGAGGATTGACGAGAAGGAGGAGGAGGAGGAGGCGCAGGAGGCACAGGCGGAGGAGGACGAGGGATTATGATGATGATGATGATGCTGATGATGATGATGATGCTGATGCTGATGCTGATGCTGATGCTGATGATGATGATGATGATGATGATCTGAGGATGGTGGTGATGATGATGATGGTGATGCTGATGCTGCTGCTGCTGATGATGCTGCTGCTGATGATGATGATGATGAAGATGATGCTGCTGATGGTGATGATAGCATGATGATGCTGACGATGATGCTGATGATGATATTATTATGATGTGGTGATGCTGATGATCATGCCGATGCTGCTGATGCTGATGATGATGACTGCGATGCTGCTGATGATGATGATGCTGATGATGATGCTGCTGCTGATGTTGGTGATGCTGGTGATGTTGTAGATGATGATGTGTTGATGCTGATGCTGATGATGATGCTGCTGCTGATGATGCTGCTGATGATGATGATGATGATGATGACGATAATGATGCTGGTGGTGATGCTGATGATGATGCTGCTGATGATGATGATTGATGATTGATGATAGGTGATGATGATGATGGTGGTGGTGGTGATGATGATGATGAGGTTGCTGATGCTGCTGCAGATGATGATGATGATGCTGCTGATCATGAGGCTGATGATGATCATGATGATGTTGATGATTTTGATGTTGATGATGCTAATGATGATGAGGATGATGATGCTGATGATGATGATGATGATGATGCTGTTGATGATGCCGATGATGATGATGATGCTGATGATGATGATGATGATGATGATGATAATGAGGATGATGATAGTCATGATGATGCTGATGATGATGATGATGTTGACGATGCTGATGCTGTTGATGATGATGATGATAGTGATGATGATGATGATGATGATGATGATCATGGTGATGGTGGTGGTGGTGGTGATGGTGACGATGATGATGCTGATGCTGATGCTGATGCTGCTGCTGATGATGATGATGATGCTGATGATGATGATGATGATGATGATGCTGATGATGATGATGATGCTGATGGTGGTGGTGGTGGTGGTGGTGGTGGTGATGATGATGATGATGGTGGTGGTGTGGTGATGATGATGATGAGATGATGATGATGAGGATGAGGATGAGGATGATGATTATGATGATGATGATGATGATGATGATGATGATGATGATGATGATGATGATGATGATGATGATGATGATGATGATGATGGTGATGGTGATGGTGATGGTGGAGGAGGAGGAGGAGGAGGAGGAGGAGGAGGAGGGAGGAGGAGGGCGAGCAGAGTGTCCGGAGGCCTATTGGATGCCTCTCGGAGTCTCGTCGGATGTCGTTTGAAAGCTTATTAGAGTCCTCTTGGGGCGTCCTGGGGGCCTCTTGACGGTCCTGGGGCGTCTTGGAGTGTCTTGGGTGCTTCGGGTTGGCCTCTTGGGAATGTCTTGCGAGCCTCTTGGGGACCTTTTGGATGTCTTTGGGTAACTTGGCAGGCGGGGGCGTGTCCACAGAGCCCGCTGGCGCATCCACCAGGACGGCCTGCCAGTCCACCGCCAGACTGCGTGTCAGCGAGGCCACTTCGTGCTTGGACATTTTTGTCAGGTGCTCGATTGTAGCAGTCGGGGCCTCTCCTCCAGCAGAGCCCGGTGCCTTGCATGTGGCGGCCGATGCGAGAACGAGAGCGCATTCTTTGTCCAAGCGGTACGTGGGCATCCCACCGAAGTCACAATAGCCCACCAAATGCGGAGTCGCAAGTGGGTCGCTCAAGAAGCAAACCGCGCCCGTAGACGACACCTTGTACGGCTGCTCGGCTAGTTCCCTCTCTTCGCTCATATGGGGATCCTCAACCACGCGGCCCAGTGGCATGGGAAGTGCGACATCCGCAGTCACCGCCGAGGGACCGCGGCAAAGTCGCGCAGCTGTTAGGGACACGTTGGCAGTGAGAGGCGCCGTGCCTACCTCCACAATGTACCTCTTCGTGAAACCATTCTCACTCCAGAGAACCCCGCGAACGTTGAATCGCTACTTGGCGCCTGTCAGAGACGGGCGCTGAGCTGCGAGGCCACCTGTTTGGACGTGCTGCATCCATAGAGCGGCGGGGCAACACAGCCCAGAACGTCCACGTCCTCGCAGTTTTTCAGGAAGAGGCGGCCGTCCTGCGTGTACATGAGGTCTTGCTGCAGCGGCACGTCCAAGAGGCACTGGCTGATCTGAAATGCGATGGAGCCAAGCTTGGCCACAGCATCGGCCAAAGCCGCAGCGCAAGTCGGGTGCGCTTCTGCTTCTACCTCTGCGAGGAAACTCTGGCCCGGCGTAAAGGTTGCCGTCAGCACTTCGCCTTCTGTAGTCGAAACGTCGAGACTCGTGAGTGACTGGGACTCCCAGGCCAGTAAGAGGGATGGAGGAGGAGGAGGCGGAGGAGGAGGCGGGCGGGCTGGCCAGGCGACGCGCTGGCCGCGCCTGGCCGGCCCGCGGCGCTTGTCGGCGCCGGCAGGGCGGGCGGTCCGGACGCGCCCCCTGCGCTGGCGGGGGATGGCTCGGCGTCCGCTGCGCCGGCCCGGCGGCGAGCGGCGGCGGCGGCCCCAGACAGAAGAAAACGTCCGAAAACGGCTCGGATCCCGTGTGAAGAACCAGTGAAGACATCGGATCTCTTGTCGCAGGTCGGCCACGCGCAGAGGCGCATTGGCCCAGAGGGATCGCCCCCTCATCGCCGATTGGGGCCTGGGCGCCCCACCCTGGCCAGGAACGCTTGGTTTGGCCATCGGCGGGCTGTCGCCGATGCATCGGCGATGCATCGCCGATTCCAGGGCATTGCTGCCCCCCTCCTGAGCCAGCCCCTCCCCCTCTGCTCGGCCACGCGCAGGGGGGGTTAGGGGGAGAGGGGAAGGCTTCTTCGAAGCACCCCTGCTTCCCGGAAGGCGCGGGCCTTGTCTGTAGACGTAGGGGCGGCGCCTTCTAAGAAGCAGGGGTCCTTCTAAGAAGCCTTCCCCCCCACCCCTAACCCCCTAACCCCCTTGCGCTCGCCGCCGAAGACCAGCGATGGAAGAAACTGGGGGCGCTGTACTGCGCGACATTTTAGACCTTCCACATTCGCCGCGTAGGGTCGCGCGTAAGGGCCTTCGATTCCCATGCAGCGTGCCGCGCTGGCGTCCAGCGTTAGCAACCGCGTAAGGTTGCGATGCCATCCCTCGTCTCAAATGGGGTCCGAGTAGATACAGTCTGAGGATCGCGCCGCATCCCCGATATAATGCGCGATGCGGCCCGATGTGGATCCCAATTTTCTCAATGCCGACGTCGCCGATGCATCGGCCTTGTCGCCGATGTATCTCCGATGCGTCAGCAAGTGCATCGACGAAGCGGCGCGTTTCTTCGACCCCATCGATCCCGCCTCGGAGGCCTCAAGGTTCCCGGGCGGTCAAGAATTGGTGTGCTGACTAGGGGGAATTGGATATCATGGCCAGGCCACGATATCTCCCTGGCTTGCCTGACCCCTCTTCTTACGGTGCGTCCCCTGGTCCCACCCTCGTCCGCGCACGTGCCTCGGGTCGTGATTTGCGACCCCCCCCCTCTTGGACGCCCCCCTTCTGGGACGCCCCCGATCAGACACCAGCGTTCAGTGGCAACGTTCAGGGGCAGCTGTCATTGGTTTTCTGGCATTTTCGTTGGCTTCTGGAGGCGTTCCCACCTCGGGGTGCTTCTGGCAGTTGCGCCTCGTCGAGAGCGTTCCAGGAATGCCCGAATGGTCCCGATCGGCCGCTGGAGGCTCGAGGTCACTTGCATGTATGGCTGAGCCAAATCGCCACGTAGTCGCCAATTCGTCACCGACAGGGGCATGACAGCACACCCCGCCAAGAAATTGCGGTTTCGCTTTCAGGGGCCTCTTCGCTTATTATCTGCGATGAATCTCCGATGAGGCGATGATTCACCCCCTGTGCCAGGCCCCTCCTATCCTTCCCTTCAGACGTCTTCCCGAGGCTTGGATTTACTCATATAAGCCGCCTGTGAAACTGATCTTCTTTTGAACTCCGAGGGCCAAAGAGCCGAGGGCCGATGATCTTGGGCATTTCCTGGTCCATCCTCGAGCCTCCAGGGGTCCTCCGGGGGAGCTCGGGTCCCAGCGAGGCGGCCCAGGGAGGCACCGTTTGGGGGAGGGGGCGGCGGGGCCGGCATGGGGCCCCCCCTGCCCCATCCTGAGTCCCCGAGCCGCCGCGCTTGGAGCTCCTGGCCTTGTCGAGGCCGATCTCCCCTCGGTCCGAGCGCTGGGGGAGCGCCTCGGCGCGAAAGGCGCGGAGGAGGCTGCGACCGCGGCAGCGCCTCCGACTCGACGGCGAATGGGGGCTAAACGTGCCCGAACTCGGCTTCAGGCCACTGTCCTGCCTACCTGCCTACCTGCCTACCTGAGGGTGCCCGGCAGCGCCTCCGCGGGAGGCGTGGCACCCCCGCCCTCGCCCGCTGCTCGCCCTCGCCTTCTATTGTCCTCGATCGGGCGCCCCGCCTTGTCCTCGATCGGCGCCTCGTCCTCGCCCTCCTCGTGCTCGTCGTCGTCGTCGTCGTCGTCGTCGTCGTCGTCGTCGTCGTCGTCGTCGTTAATGTCGTCGTCAATGTCGTCGTCGTCGTCGTCAATGTCAACGTCGTCGTCAATGTCGTCGCCGTGGTCCCAGTCGTCGGCCTCCTCCTCCTCCTCCTCCTCCTCCTTCTCCTCCCTCTCCTTCTCCCTACTTGCCTCGTGCCCAGTTCGTGTTGCCCCGCCACGCGGGACCTCGGTGCACTGGGCAAGCTGTTTCAGAGTCTATGGAGAAGGATGTGCTGACGGTCGGGGGGCTTCCCCCGCCCTAAGGCCACCAAGGCCAGACGCCCACCCAGTCGTTTGCGGTCGCCCGCCCCCTCTTTGCGTTCGGAGGGGGTGAAGGGTCGGGGGTGTCTTCTGGCTTCCTCTGAAGGCACCACGGGCTCGGCACATGGTTGCCTTGCCCTCTCCCTCCTCCTGCTCTGCACGCTGTGCTGGGCCAGAACGCCCCCAAACATGCGTTTCTCAAGCCCCTCCCTCCATCCTGGTCCTTGTCTCCACGACTCGCCTCCTATTCCCCCCCCTCCTCCTCCTCCTCCACCTCTTCCTCCTCCTCCTCCTCCTCCTCCTCCTCCTCCTCCTCCTCCTCCTCCTCCTCCTCCTAGAGGATCGACGACAACTGCGGCGACGACGCTGGCAGCGAGGACGACCCGGACACTGACGCGACGACGCCCTCTTCACGACGACGATGAGGACGGTGGTAGGAACGACAGCAGCAACGAAGACGGCACTGGCCACGACGACGTTGACCGCCACCTCCGCCAGGTAGGGGAGGAGGAAGAGGAGGAGGAGGAGGAAGAGGAGGAGGAAGAGGAGGAGGAGGAGGGCTGAGGATCGAGAACTGCTGACGGCGACGGTGACGGCGGTGGCGACGGTGTCGACCGTACAGGACGCCGGCGGCGGTGCCACACCAGGGCGCGGCCCGGCGGACTTGGAGGCGGCGCGGCCGCCGTGGAGGGTGCGCCGAATTTTCGGCGGGACGCGTAGATTTCCTCCTCCTCCTCCTCGTCCTCCCTGGTTTCCAGAACGCTCGGAGAAGACCGCGGCGCCCGATGTATCCTCCAGAGCCGCCAGATCTCGGATAATCTCGATTTATCCTCACCCGAATTCGTCCTCGTCCTGGCTTCGTCTTAGTGCCCCCTCCACCCCAAGCAGCGTCCCAAGCAGCGTCCTCGCTTCACCTGGAGGGTCAGCGGCGATTGTGGTGACGACGGCGACGGCGAGGTCGACTAGGACGCGGATGCAGCGACGACTGGTGCTGAACCCCCTGGCGCGCTCTGCGCGCCAGGGAGATGGGCGTCAGCGCCGATCCAAGAGGTCCGCGCGGACCTCCGATCATTTGGGTCTATGCTGTTTTTCTTCGAGTCGCTGCCGTCGCCATCGTCGGTGCAGCCGCCACTGCCGTTGCCGTCTCCGCGCCTCTGCCGCCGCCGTCGCGGTCGTCATGGTCGTCGTTGTCCTCGACGTCCTCGTCGTTGTCGTCGTTATCTTCGACGTCGTCGTTATCGTCGTCGGTCGGGGTTCGAGGGTTGCGGGTGGAGGTTCCTGGAGTTTCAAGCGAGTCGTGCACTACAGAACCGTCCCGCTGAACGGATGTTTAGCCGCCGCTCCGCTCCGATCCGCTTCTTTTCGGACCCTCCAGAGTTTTTTTTAGGATTTGTAGAGCTTTGAGGTTCGATGGATCGAGGGATCGAGGTTTTAGAGGTTCGAGCATCGAGGGCGCGATCTTCGGACAGTCCTGGCTCTCCAGGCCTCGGGGGCCCCCAGAGACCTCGGGGGGACCTCTGGAGACCATGCAGGGCCTCCAGGAGACCTTCGGAGGTCGCCCGGCGGCGTCGGTCGTCGTCGTCGTCGTCGTCGTCGTCGTCGTCGTCGTCGTCGTCGTCGTCGTCGTCGTCGTCGTCCGTCCGTCCGTCCGTCCTCCAGGCCGATTGTCCGCTCGTCTGTCGTCCGTCGTCCGCCATCCGCCATCCGTCGTCGTCGCCGTCGTAGTTGAGCGAAGATCGAGATCCGAGGCTGAGGATCCAGGTGTTCTACGGTGGGCCTGCTCATGCGCGCGAGGCGGACTGCACGCGCAGAGGTGCGAGATACGGCCAGGAGCCGTGCTGCTTTTTCTTGGCCGCTTGGCATATGCTCCGGGTGCTCGGCAGCATGTTGTGGATGTCAGAGGACTCGTTTATCGAGTCGGGATTTCTCCATCACCACCGCCTGGGGGAGTGATCTTCGGGGACCTCGGCATGAGGTGGACATTGATACACTTGCTCCCCTCACAGGGCCCGAATATAGCTGTGGCCGTTGCCTGCGCAGGTCCCCGAAGGTCGATTCGCAATTTTGGGCCGGCGCGCGGGTGACTGGCCACCCGCACTTTGGACCGTCGCGCCATTGCCAGGCTGGCTTCGCTGCTCGCCGTTCCGCCCACCTGGGGGGCTCAGCCCAGCCGCACCGTCCTCGCAAGACGGACGGGGCGAGGGCGGGAACACTGAGATCCTGGCGCCGCATTTTTATCACAACGGATGATTTTTCTTTGTCTCGGGCCTCTGGGACCCTCGCGAATCTATCCTGCTCGACAAATGCCGCCGAAAGACGGAGTACCGAGCTCTGGTCGAGATGACTAACGATGCTGCAGTTGTTCCATGACGTCGGATCTGAGGGAAGGAGAGACACCAAGATCGAGCACACGACTCTTGCCAGCCACTTGGGCCGTGGTCACAGTGGGCGGCCGCTGGTTGCCGAGTGAGGGGAGCGGCCGGATCCCCGGATCCGGGGATCTGGCTGCTCCCGGTCGCTGTCGTCATCAGAGTCGCAGTGTCCACGCAGGGTCCAGCTGGACCCTGCCCGGGCACCGCGATTTTGACCGTGACAGTGGCGACGACGGCCGCGATGACACGACGGCGACGACGGCGGCGACGGCGGCGGCGGTGACGGCGACGTCGGCGGTGGCGACGGCGACGGCGGCGACGGGGGCGCCCCCCGCCGGCGCCGCCAGCTTGCGCGTGGCCCTCCGCCCGCGAGGCCCCGACGCCCGCAGCCTCGCGCGGCCGCAGGCGCCCCGCTGCGTACCCCCCTCCGCGCCGACCCGTCGATGACGAGTACCCGGGGTGCGGCAGGGGCACGGGCAGGGGGGCTGGGCTCGGGGGCGGGGGAGCTCTGGACAGTTTCCAGGTCTTCGAGAGGTTTCGAGGCCGGGGGTGGTTTCCATCAGCTGCGCCTCGTCGAGAGCGTTCCGGGGGGTGCTGGAATCGTCCCGGATGGCCGCAGGCCTGAGGCCCACGGCCCGAAAACCAAGGGGCAACGAAGGGAGGGATGGACTCATGGGGGGATGCATCGACGCCCAGCTGCCCTTACGTTTGATCGCCGATGGGGTCGGACCCCATCCAGGAACGCTTGGATTCGCTATCGAGGACCCGTGGCCGATCTGTTTGTGATTCATCGCTGATTCAACCTCGATGTCTCCCCGCAGGGCCCCAGAGCCAGCCTCCCCCACTTAGCGTGCCCCTTCGCCCAAGCATGTCTGGAGCTAGCGTTTTCACGTTTCTACGGTCGGTCACTGGGGGGGATCTGTTAAAGCTTCGGGTTGCTCACATACAGGTTGTCTCGTCTGGCCTCAATCGGCCCCCCGAGTAGCCCGTGTGGTCCCAACACCCCAACCCTGGGGCGCGGAGCGCCCCAGTCGGCGCCAGGGTACCACGAGACCGCCCTGGGCTACTCAGGGGGGGCCTCTTGATTGTTGGGTCCAGCTGGGACTGCTTGCGGGGGCCTGTTGAGGCCAGCCGGGACTACCCTGGAAAGCTGTCTGTGCGCAGCCCGAAGCATTACCCGGCGGATCTGCCGTTTTGGGCGCGGGCTCGGGCTTGGTGAGGGGGCGCGGTCCTGTTGCTCGCCGCGGCGGCCGCCTGGGGGATCGCCTCGTCTGGGCACAAGGCGCCCCCCCTCCCTTCCTTCCCGGCTTGGAAGCTACCATGCGGCAGGCCGGAGTTGGCGACATGGCCGACATGGCCGTCGTAGTCAGCTGGCAGGTAACCCGAAACATTACGATGGGAGGTTTTCGGTGCTTTCGGCCCCCAGGGCCCTCGCCAGGCCCCAGAGGGGCTCAGCCAGTGCGCTGGGTCCTGCAAAGCGGGATTTGGGCTGGGCCGGGTTTGGGAGGCGCTCGCGGCCCTGGAGGTGGCCTCAGGCATTGGGTGTGCAATTGCGAAGCCCCAAAGCAAAGTGCAGCGCCGTTTTTTCGAAGTTGGCTGAGCCGGGTTTGCGCTGAGCCGGGCTAGTCCACGCCCGAGTTGGCCGACCCGGGTCACGGTCAAACAACATCATGAGGATGAGCAACATTTCAAGGGCACCCTCGCATCTTTGCCTCTTGGCCCATCCTGGCCCTTCGCCCCACGGATCGGCCTCCAACTTCGACTCTGGTTTAGGCGACCAAGGGCCTTGCATACTTACTGCGCATCCTCGTGATCCTGTCGCACTGCGACGCTGGCCCCCTGCAGCGCTCAGACGGGGCCAGGACTAGGACTACGAGAAGTCGTTCCAGCGCGTTCCCGAACGCTCTTGGAGCGTTCTGGAGCGCTCTGGAACGGCCGCAGCGCCTGATACACCCCCTGGAACCGCCGGATCTCAGAGATCATCGATTTGTCCAGATCTGATGTTGTCCTTGTCTTGGCTTCTAGGGGGGCCCCCGAACGGTGCGGTGACCTCACCGTGTGGTGAGTCAGTGGGGATTCGGGGTGGCCGCACGGTTTCGTGATTTGGGTCCTTCTCTGAGGGTGTCCCGGGCAACTGGGGCCTCCAAGGATCCAACAAACAGTGCGGCGACCAGTGGTGCGGTGAGGTCGTTAGGGATTCCGAGGTCACCGCACGGTCTGTCACCGCACCGTTCCCAGACGTCCGATGTCTTGATTGTTTCAATCCACGGTCCTGGGAAGTACCGACCCTTTTCCTGGGGCCGGTCCCGGAGGCCGAAAACGGCCACACATTTTCCGCCTGAGGACGGACCGTTGGGTCGTTGGGGATCCCGAGGTTACCGCGCTTGTCACCGCGCCGTTTTGGGGCCCCCAGGCTTCGTCAACTCTCCGCTCGGGAACTGCCTGCCGTCGGGGTCCGTGTCGTGTCGACGCGGCGACCCAGCGCGGGCGTTCGAGGCTCAACGCCGCCAGTGGCCCAGGATCGGAAGCACCGCCGCTCGTTCGAGGCTGAACGATCCACAAGGTGTCTGGGACTCGCACCGTTTCGGGACCCCCCGGCGTCGTCCTACAGGGCGTGCCAGGCCTCTGCGAGCTGCCCCTTCCCCCCCCCCGCCCCCGAGGCCCAAGGCCAGCCCGCCGGACGACGGCGGCTTCGGCGGGCAGTCCCTGGGCGACTGCTTCAAGAAGGCCCGTGGGCGCGGCCAGCACGCTCCCTCCGCCCTTCCCGCAGACCTGCTCGCGTCGTGTACAGAAGCGGAGCGGGAGGTTGTTGGCCGTTTTCGGCCTCCAGGGGCCCTCTCAGAGCCCCAGGACCGTCAGACAGCCCCGCACGGAAAACATGTCTTGGAGAATGGGTCGAGGCCTCTGGGAGCCCATTCTGCGACAGAAACCACAACGTCGGGGGGGTCGAGGTTTGGCTCCGCCGCCCTCCCAGGGCCCATTTCGATTCGACCGATCTGATTCGATACCGATTATGCCAGGCGCGATCCGATCCGACTTCCATTCTCGCGCGCTCCGATGCTGTCCGATGCTTGTATGACCTTGTTGTGCATCCTGGCGCGGCCGATTTTGCCTCCGTGTCGATGCAGCCCGATCCGACGCACGTTCCGACCCCATCCGTTTTGCCGATTCTGTGCTGACTGATCCTGCCCTTTTCGCTTCTCGCTCATCGCGCACAGCAGCAGCATAAGCCAGGCACCTTGACGACGCATCGGGATAACACATGCCGTGCAGATGTGCCTTGACAGAGCGGTGAAACACGATCGGCTGTAACCCTCTTCCGGCTGCACGAGACGTCAGGCAGAACCAATAGTACATCCTTGCCTGGCCGTTGCTGCACTGCTGGCTGCATCGCGCACAGCGGTGTGTAAATTCAGGCGCTGGAGGAGATTTTCTGGTTCGGAAGGGGCTCGCTCTTCCTCCATCGGAGGAGGAGGAGGAGGAGGAGGAGGAGGAGGAGGAGGAGGAGGAGGTACCGATATCACTACCATTGCCTCGTTTATTTTCGCCTCTTTGGGCCTTCCGGCAGTCCCTCGTCGCCACGGCTGGAGTCTCCTCGAAATCTGGGTCAGGATGCATCCTCGGAGAGGTCTGTGGAGTAGCGATATCGGTACCTTTGGTTCCACCATTTTAGGGCTTCTCGTGCACCCATGCGCCCTCGGGGTCAGACACGGGCTCCTTGCTTCTTGTTCGGCGCTCCTTGTGGTCGTAGCCTGACGGTGTCCCATCTTCCAGCAGTTCTTCTCTGACGGCCGCCCCCATCCCTAAATCTTGGCCTCGGTTGCCCCTTCAAGCCTGCAGCGTGCTGGGAGGTCCTCGCTCGTCCCTCGTCGTCGCGTTATCGCTCCGCTGATCTCCTGCAGGTTCGTCGCCTGCGTCGGTTTCTCCCTGCGGAGCTCTACCTGCTTTGCCGTCCTCTCGAGCGCCGTGGCCTGGTCGTCCTTGAGGTTGATCTATCGCTCAGGGATGCGTTCGCGCAGGACTCGTGGAGCGAGTCCTCTCGCCTGAGGCCCTTGCCGACGCTGGGATTCGTCTCGAAGGCCGACTTCGCATCCGTCAATGCTGTCCAAGGTGAGCTCTCTGCCTAGTATCTTCGCGGCACGCTCCTCGATCTCACGTCATCTCGGGGCTTCCCCAGTCTGAACAAGCACGAGGCCTCTCTGAGCAGATGTCTCCGCCGTCTCGTGGGAGCTGGAGCGCCAGCTCCACCGCGATGGCCTTCAGCTTCTGTGCTCGTAGTTGACCTCGAGGGTAGTTATGCCGTTGGGCTGGGTCCCGTCGCCACTCCAAGTCTGAAGCGCCGAAAAGAACCTGCATGGCGCGATATCCAGTTCTTTTGGGACGTATTTTCCTTGAGCCTTCCACAAGCTCGACCTGTACCCCCTGTGTTGTTCAGGGAGTCGCTATTGTCCAGGTTGACCCTCTAATATGTGAAACCCTCCTTGCTCATGCCCCCCGTGAGTTTCGATTCGGGTCCACAGCAAGCCTCATTGCAATTTAATATGAACGCAACCTAGCTTTTGAGCGATCGATCCCATGCGTTCGCTCATAATCATTTCGATCGCCCTTACACCTGCCTGAAGAGTCCCTCTGGCTGCTTGTACGAAACGGGCTTCATGCGGTCCCTGACTCTCGAGCCTCCTGATCTCATCCCAGGCGGTCTGGTCTGCATGCATCACCTCCGCCTGACTCGCACTTGCACTTGCGGTTGAATGCACTACAGACATTGGCGGAAGTGGTACCTTTGAAGAGGTCGATCTTGCCCTTGGAGATATTTTGACCGTTATCACTTCCTGGGTCTGATCCCGGGTGATCGCCACAACCGCCTCCTCCCCGCTCTGGCGTAAGCTCGTCCATGATCTCCACGATGGAGTCGCAACAGGATATGAACGTGGATGGAAAACTTGAAGGAAGTGCTTTGAGCCAGCATGTCATCGGAGATGTTGACGACACATCTGTGGATTGATAATACAGTTCCTACGATCTGATGTGGTGGGCCATGATCCCTTGGCTGGTAGGTTCATGCTCACATGGTAAAGTTCACAAGAGTACTCTAGCTTCTGAGGTTGTCTCGGTGCGCAATAAGATAGTGGCTTACCAACGCGAATGATTATGACCATTCGCTGGGCTCAGTGTGGTCACAGTACTTATCTGATTTTTGTTGGTTGGCTTGCTTTTCAGATCCAGGATTGGTTTTCCTGATCTTTGCTCTGTCCTATCTGTTCTGGGCTCAGTATGGGCTTCAATGTGGATGGCACCAGGGAAAAGGTCTCTCATGATTCCTGACCACTTGTCGGCCCGCGAAAGTCTCGAGCCGCGGTGTGCTGTCGTCGTTCGGCGTCGCCCCTCTTCGTCGTCCGCGTCCCCGTCGATGGCGATGGCGACCGCGGCGACCGGCTAAGGCGCCGCCGCCGCCAGCCCCTGGCGGCGGCGCCGCCGCCTCTGGGGGCGGCGCCAGCAGGGCCAGCAGGGCGCCGCCCCCGCCAGAGGCGGGCGCCCGGGCGCGCGCGCGCGGCTGAGCCGGGCGCCTCGGGGGGGGGGCGGCCCCGGCTGTGTTGCGGTCACAGGCGGTCGTGTGCCGGGCGGGGCTAGGACTGGGATGAGTCGTTCCAGAGCGTTCCAAAACGGCGGCGGCGCCCGATACATTCTCCAGAGCCGCCGGATCTCAGATCTGTCCCAGTCCAATTCGGTTCCGGTTCTGGCTTCGTCTTGCTTGGGGATCGGTCCTCTTCCTCATACCGCTCCTCATCCTCCCTCTTCTCCCTCCTCCTCCCCCTCCTCCCTCTTCCCCTCGAGGATAAATTTGAACTTTTACGCCGAAGGTGAGGGGTCATACCACGCGACTGGACAGACGAGACTCCCGTCCAACTCTTTAAGTCTCCTGGCGACAAGTTTCCTGGCTTGGCTGAGGTTGAGCAGCCTCATTTTACGCACCGTGTGCTGGGTGCTGGATAACGGAGGAGAGCGGTCAGTCATAGCATCCTTATCGAGACTCGACGAATCTACACCAACATGCCCAGCGCCATTCTCATAGAGTTCTCATTGTCCAGTCTTGTGCTGCTCCCTCCGCACAGCGAGTGGCCGTTATCTGATCATGCCCTTGTTGCATTCGTGCTTGCCAAGTGCCGCGCCTGCGGATTTCGCACCTCGCCGTGGGTTACCCAGCACTCGAAATTTTTCAGGAGTTTGTGCACGAGCTTGTCGAGTGTGCTGGCCCTCCAGCAGAATGACCGCTTGTTGCCGCGCAGGAGATGAAATACATGTTGAATGCCGCGGCTAAGCGCGTGATCGAATGTTCGTCCAAGGGAGGGCCGCTCACCCCAGGCGGGAAAGTGTATTGGGCTCTGGTGGTTTTGAGGGCAGCTCTTCAAGGGCAGGTTCAGAATATTTCCAGGGCTTTTCGGGCAGTTCCTGACTTGGGTGGTTATATCAGTGGAACCTCAGGGCTTTGGAGGGACCAACCTGGGTGTCACGCTCTGTTGTGTCATCTTTCAACTCATCAACCTAACGACCTGCTTCAAGATAATGAACGGCTAAACGATCCCTTTGCGAAGGAAGTCGACATCCGAAGCAAGCTCACCAATTACCTCACAGCCTGGGGGGAAGGTCGTCGACGGGTCACCCTCTCGGAGGATGCGGATCCGTTAGGTGCCCAGATGTCGGACCCAATAGAGGCGAGGAAGCTTTTAGCATGGTGGGGCGCCGTGCACTCTTTTGCTGCTGGGTCTGCTTGTGCGTCTTGGTGAACTCCTGCTCTTGATGCAACGTGTTCCTGAGGAGGGTTTTCTGAGACTTCGGGGCAAAGTTTTATGGAACGATTTCGAATGCGCATGATCCGAGTCCTGGCCCTGACGGGGCCCCCTGGTTGGCAAGGTCCAAGGGAGGAGATCCAGCCGCTCGCACGCTCCACGTTCTTTGTCGGCATGTTCTCGATCGAGGAACCTTGCCAGAGGGATATAACTATGGGCTTGCAGCATCCCCCCAAAGCTGAACATACTCAGCATTGTGTTGGTGCTGGTTTTTCATGACAGCTAGAAGTACTGAACCTATTACCCGGGGGAATTCGGACAACAACTTGATTTGCCGAGCTATTAACAAGCCACTCACTCATGGCGGCATTTAATCAACACCTACTGAACGCTTAGAGGCCAAGGCGGTTGAGTGGTCTTGTCTGGAGTCCCTTGCTGAAGTGGGCTTCGTTATGTTCGACATTCGTTGCATCCTTCCCCATTCTCTGGTTCGTTTGACAGGCTATGCGCGTTACTCGCCACATCCGCAGAGCTATTGCATACTTTATTTGACATGTTTGGGTTCAGGTATCTCTCAGGACCTCGTGGGAGTGGATGGTGGGTGAGGAGAGCATTTCAACAAGGGCGCCTATTATCTCCATCACTGTTCATATTATGCACGGGCCAGGTACTCTGTGTGCTGGCCTCTCGCCATTCACGAATTCCGTCGGATCTCCCCGCTTGTGCAGATGACCCTGGGGATTGTTGTGTCGTCCGTTTTTGAAGCTCCCGCCTTGCTGCTACCAGCCTTCGCGGTTGTCGCCGGGGTCGCTGGGCTGCACCCTGACGAAGATATCCCATTGGCGGACCGGACCACCTTCGGGTTTTTAGTAACTCTAAGCATCTGAGGCTTTTTTTCTGGGCGACACTGCATCTGTTCTCTCTTGGGAGGTGCCAGCCAGGAAGTGTTTCTGGATGTCCGAGGATAGTAAGGCTCTGGGGGTGGGAATGGCCAAACACGATTCGATATCTAACCAGAATGTGCTCAGCTGTCTACTAGGTTGATTCATCGAACAGTGATGCTGCAGGTCAGGCACTCGTCGGCGGCCTGACGAATGCTGTCAGTCATCACTTGTGTGTGTACCTTTGTGATCTCGGTTTCCCGCTTCGGACTTGACGACTTGACTGTGCACCTCGTGCTCATATGCGCAGGCCCGCCTCACAATAATCATTATTTTCAGATGTCTGTGCGAATCTCTTGTGTCGGCGCTGGAACCCTTGGCGGCGCCTGCCACGCCCACCCTGGCGTGCTCCGCGTGTCAGGGAAGGGGGCGCAGCGCTGACTGAAGAACATCGCGCGGACGTTCGACAGTTTCTGTGTGTATTTACTCTACTGGCGGATCAGGAGGATCACCTCCTCTCATCCTCTTGGCCTCCACACGGACTGCCCCTCGACCTCAGTTATCAGGCTATCAGGAGGAGGGGGAGGAGGAGAAGAGAAGGGGGAGGAGGATGAGGAGAGGGCATCGCGGTTTCGATTTGACACTGCCCTCCGCTGTCAGGCCATCAGGGTGAGGAGGAGGAGGAGGACCTCCCCTCCCTCCCTCTCCTGGCCTCCCCAATAAGGCTTGCCTCTGACCAGGAAGAGGAGGAGGAGGAGGAGGAGGAGGAGGAGGAGGAGGAGGAGGAGGAGGAGGACCTTGTCAGAGTGAGGGGGCCGAACGATCATTCACTGTCCCTGGTTGCGTGGCTGAAGTGGGAATCCGTGGTGAGGATTCTGCTTGTTGCGTTGTTGTTTGTTGTCGTCGTCCCACCCGCGACCCACCCTCGACCCACCCCGCGACCCACCCCGCGACTCACCCGCGACCCACCCCGCGACCCCCCCGCGACCCACCCCGCGATCCACCTGCGACCCACCCCGCGACCCACCCCGCGACCCACCCGCGATCCACCCGGGACCCACCCGCGACCCATTTGCGACCCACCCGCGACCCGCTCCGCGCCCCTCCCACGACCCACCCGCGACCCAACGGCGACTCACCCGCGACCCATCCGCGACCCAGCCGCGACCCATTTGCGACCCACCCGCGACCTACCCACATTGGTTTAACCAACAAATCTGTGCCTGCGGCGGGCTCGTAGTATAATTTGTGAAACTTTGGCGCTTGCGGCGGGCTTCTCCAGAGTCTCGCAGACTGTCGACGTCCCCACCGCCCCCTCATTCTTATCCGCGTCTGCGGGGTGCTACGATAGTTTCACTGACATCCGCCGGCATTATGTGTTCTATCCGCGGTCTCAGAGGCCCTGGCCGCTTCCAATGGGGGTAGACTTTCGTTCCAGATCCATTTCTGATTACCCCAACCGTGTTCGAAAACGGTCCTGAGAGGCCTAAATCGATGAAACGATGGCAGGGTGACATATTATCTAGGCGAAGAACTCAACCGTATGCAGGTGTGAGTACCGCGAGGCAGGTGAGAAGAAGGGGATCTCCCTATGGGGCCACAAACCGTGTGAGGGCCGTTCCGAAATTTTCATGCGGTGGGTGGGGAGCCGTTTACGAACCATGGCATTGGGGACTTCGGTGGGGCCATCTATAGGGCCACGAAGCGTGTGAGGGGTGTGCCGAAATGGACATGTGGTGGGCGGGGGGCTGCATGTGAACTCAGTCATTGGGGCCTTAGGTAGTTGCTTGCTGGGCTGAGAACCGTGTCAGGGGTCTGCCGAACTGGACATGTGGTGAATGGGGAGCCGCATGCGAACCTTGTCACTGAGGCCTTCGGTGGAGCTCCCTGTGGGGCCACGAAGCGTGCGAGGGGTGTGCCGAAATGGACATGCGGTGGGCGGGGAGCCGCGTGCGAACTGCCCGACTAGGACCTTCGGTGGAGCTCCCTATGGGGCCACGAAGCGTGTGGGGTGTGTGTCGACAGGGGTGGCGGGGACGCATGCGCTCCTATGGGGCCCTCCCTATGGGGCTACGAAGCGTGTGAGCGGTGTGCGGTTTTTGGTGGCGAGGGCGCATGCGAGCTGCGCCACTGGCACTTCGGTGGAGCTTCCATTTGGGCCACGAAACGTGTGTGGGTATGCCGGAAGGGGTGGCGGGTGCGCATGCGAACTGCGACACAGTGATTTTCGGTGGAGCTTCTATTTGGACCACGACATGCGTGAGAGGTGTGCAAACATGGGTGGCTGGGGCGCATGCGCACTGCGCCATTGGGACCTTCGGTGGAGCTCCCCATGGGGCTACGAAGCGTGGGAGGATTACGCTGAAATGCGTGGCGGGGACGCGTGCGAACTGCTCCAGCGGCCCTTTTGCTGAGCTCCCTATGGGGCCAGGAATCATCTGAGGTGTGAGCCGAATTAGGGGGCGGGGGCGCATGCGAATTGCGCCACTGGGACCTTCGGTGGAGCTCCCTTTGTGGCCACGATGCGTGCGAGGTGTGTGCCGAAATGGGTGGCGGGGGCGCATGCGAACTGCCCTACTGGGTTCTTCGGTGGGGCTCCATACGGATATGGTGCCGAAGGGGTGTGCCGAGCTGGGTGGCGGGGACGCGTGCGAATTGCGCTCCTGGGGCTTTCGGTGGAGCGTCATATGGGGCCACGCAACGACTGCGGGTGTGCCGAAATGGATGGCGGGAACGCATGCGAGCTGCGCCACTGAGACCTTCGGTGGAGCTCCCTATAGGGCCACGATGCGTGTGAGGGGTGTGCCAGAATGGGTGGCGGGGGCGCATGCGAACTGCGCCACTGGGACCTTCCTTGGAGCTCCCTATGGGGCCACGATGCGTGTGAGGGGTGTGCCGAAATCGGTGGTGGGGACGCATGCTAACTGCGCCAGTGGGACTTCGGTGGAGCTCCCTATGAGGCCACGAAATGTGTGCGGCAAGTGCCGAAATTGGTGGCGGGAACGCATGCGAACTCCCCCACTGGGACCTTCAGTGGAGTTCCATATAGTGCCTCCGAACGTGTGAGGGTGGTTCCGAAATGGGTGGCGGTGGCGCCATGCGAACTGCGCCACTGGGACCCTTGGTGGAGCTTCTTATGAGGCCACGACCTAAGTGACGACGAGGAGGGAGGAGAAAGGGGAGGAGGAGCGAGAAGGAGGAAGGAAGGAGACGCGGGGCGTTGTCTCTTCAGAACGAGGGCCCAACACCACAGGATGGTGGGGGAAACAGTTAGTCGGAGTTCTGGGTCCTGGCCTCCCCAGGGTTGGCCCCTCGACCCCCCAGGTTTCGGCTCATATAACTCGGGTCCGGCGGTCGTTCGGGAAGATCCAGGCCCCGCCGGAAAGCTCTCGACAAGTCGCAGATTTTGGTAAGCACCTTGAGGTGGGAAAACCTCCACGGACCAGCAACAACTTCCTTGGCTCAGCAAGAGGTCGGGCGGGGCTAGGACGGGGACAAATCGGTCCAGAGCGTTCCAGAACGCTTTCAGAGAGTTCCGGCGCGCTCTGAAAAGGCCGCGGCGCCTGACACATCCTTCAGATCTGCCAGATCTCAGAGATCCCCGATTTGTCCCGGTCTAATGTTGTCGTGGTCCTGGATTCGTCTTCGAGGAGGACCCTCCGGCCCGATGCGAGACAATTTCCAGGACAAAGATTTTCTTGAACCGGAGGAGGAGGAGGAGGAGGAGGAGGAGGAGGAGGAGGAGGAGGAGGAGGAGGAGGAGGAGGAGGAGGAGGAGGAAAGGAGGAGGAGTCCAGGAGGACCCCCCGAGCGGGCTCGCCGCCCGCCCGCAGGGGGGCGGCCCCGGGGCCGACGAGATCGTCAAGTGGCTCAGGTCGCTGCCCCTTTCCCACGTGCCCGAGAAGGCCATGGGTGCTTTTTTTCTTGCTCCCACCTGCTTGGGAGGAGGAGGAGGAGGAGGAGGAGGAGGAGGAGGAGGAGGAGGAGGAGGAGGAGGAGGGGAGGCGAAGGAGGAGGAGGAGGAGGAGGAGGAGGAGGAGGAGGAGGAGAGGGGACCTGAGGGAGGAAAGGAGAAGGAAAGGAGGAGGAAAGGAGGAAGGCACGAGCACAGGTGGGGGAGGAGGAACTGAGGAGGAGAATAAGAAGAACAACTAATAATAATAAACGACTAATAAGAAGACGAAGACGGCGATCGTCGTCGAATGCTGGCGATCGTCGTCGTCGTTGTTGTTCGTCGGAGTGGTCATCTTTATCGTCGGTCGTCTCCCGTCGTCGTTGTCGTGAATCGTCGTCGTCGTCGTCACTGTCGGCATATTCAGTTGTCGTCATTTTCTGTCGTCGTTGTCGTGCTTCGTCGTCGTTGTCGGTCGTCGTCGTCATCGTCGTCCTTCGTCCCGTCGATCGTCAGTCGTCGTCGTCGTCGTCGTCGTCGTCGTCGTCGTCGTCGGAAGCGCCGCCGTCGTCGGTCGTTGTCGATCGTCGTCGATCGTCATCGTTTGTCGATCGTTCTCGTCGTCGTCGTCGTCGCCCGCTAGCGCCTCGTGGCCACCCCGTTGCGAGGCTCAAAACGAGCTGTGCGCCGTGGTCGAGGAGGCCAACATGGGGGGCCACGAATTCGATGGGCGCCCCCCGGGGGCAGCTCGGCGTGGGCGTGGCTTCCTCCCCTTCAAAGGTGACTCCCGTCTCAATGGCTGCATCGGTGTACATGTGTACCGCATTTACATGCATATATATATGCATGTATGCATGCATACACATATATACATTTATGTATATCAATGCATGTATGTATTGTGTTGAAGTGGATTGTAGTGTATTGTATTGTAGTGTATTGCATTATATATATATGTGTGTGTAGGTATGTATGTGGGTATGCATGTATGCTTATACGTACGTATGTATGAATGTAGCTGTGTGTGCTTGTTTGTTTGGTTGTGTGTTTGGTTGTTTGTGTATGAAGGTACACGCGTATGTATGTATGCATCCATGTATGTGCACGTGTATGCATGTCTGTTTGTGTGTGTGCGTGCGGTGTATGTATGTAATGTATGTATGTATGCATGCATGAATGCATGCATAGATGTATGCCTGCATGTATGTACGCATGTATGTATGCACGCCTGTATTGGTGTCCGCACGCATGCATGCACGTACGTTTCTTTGGTGGCTGGTATATATGTATGTATGCATGCGTACATGCATGCATGCATGTATGTATGTGCATGTATTTGCAGACATATGGACGTGTGAGTATGTATGAGCCTATGCATGTACGCATGTCTGCCTGCATGCATGTATGTAGGTATGCATGCCTGCGTGCGTATGTGTGTATGTCTGTCTGTGGGTAGGTAGGTAGGTGAATGGGTGTGTGCGTGTGTGTGTGTCTGTCTGCCTGCCTGTCTGTCTGTGTGTATGTATGTATGTATGTATGTATGTATGTATGTATGTATGTATGTATGTATGGATGTATGTATGTATGTATGTATGTATGTATGTATGTATGTATGTATGTATGTATGTATGAATAAACGTACGTATGTATGTATGTATGCATGTACGTGTGTGCATGCATGTATGTACGCAGGCATGCACGCACGCACGCACGCACGCACGCACTCACGCATACATGTATGCATGTATGTATGTATGCATGCATGTATGTATGTAGGTGTGTATGCATAGGTGTACATGTATGCTTATATGCATACCATGTGTGTGTGTATGGATGTAGACCTGTGTATGTGTGAGTACGTGTATGTGTATGGATATGCATGTGTGTATGCATGTATGCATGTATACATGTATGTATGCATGCATGCGTTTGCGTGTATTTGTGTATGTGTGTGTATCCGTAGCCCTTCTGCCTCAAGCCTCTGGCTCAAGCCCCTCTTGCTCAGGCCGTCTCGGCTCGAGCCCGCCCCTGGACAGGTTCGCGCCTGGCCGGCCCCGTCGCGATGGCCTCGCGTCCCTTTGGCGCCGCCCTACTGAGGGAGCGCCCGAAAACGGAGACCTACCACGCAGAACAAAGAGCCAGGAGGACAACGAGGCCATCCGCCAGCTTGTCGACAGAAATCCCTACGCGCTCATTCGCCCTCCTTCCCCTGAGCGAGGGGTTGAAGGAGGGGAGAGGGATGAAGAGCATCATGGCGAGGAACAGGTGCGCGACGACAAGGCGGAGGGCGAGGTGGAGGGCGGGGGCCTGCAGTGCGGCGCTGCCCCGGGACAAGCTCAGCAGCCTGACGGCGACCTCCTGCCTGCGCGCGGCGCCGCAGGTGCTGGAGCTCGACCAGCGCCAGCTCCAGAAGCGGACGTGGGCGAGGTCGGCCCTGATCTTGCCGAGCAGCACGAAGGCGAAATTCAGCCCATGGCCGTCGCGACGGCCAGTCGCCCTGAGCCCGCGTCTGTTCTTGGTCATGCCGACCGTCAGCGGGATGACGCCCTGAACCCTCCCATCTCTTCCCCGACCTCCCATCCACCAATGCGCCTCGCCAGTGCGAAGGATAGTCGCCCCGATCCCGTGCTCGTTCCTGGTCATGCCGACAGCGCAGCCTGGTGTGACGCGTCAGCCGCACCGCGCTGGTTGCCGCGCCTTCGAATCGCGAACGACGCGCAGCGTCCTGGGACCTCGACGCCGCTGGGGTGCACCGTGCCGCCGCCCTGTCCACAACCGCCCCAGGGAAGACCGCCGCGTCCACTGGCCGAGACGCCCAGACGAGACGGCGACCGCCCACCTGAAAAAGGCTGAAGTTCGAAGGAGGCTACCACTTCACCGCGGCCTGGAACTCCTGGCGCAGGCACGCGGGCCAGGAAGAGGGCGAGACCAGGGACCAAGTCAAGTTTGACCCGTCCTGCTGGCAGCCCGACATGATCGACCGCTTCCTGGGCGAAATGGCACGCGGCCACCACGACGTGGGCACCTGGTTCCGGAATGCGGGCGTCTACATCGACTGGGGCCGCGAAAACACCCTGTATCAGGAGTTCCAGGGGATGCGGGGGGGGGCGTGGATTGGGAACGGGAAAAGGCCCTCTACCAAGAGTTCCAGAAGAAAGGGAGGTAACCAAAGGTGAAGGGCGCGGAGAGGACCAGGCGCGCAGCTCCGGATCCACCGGCAACTGGGCCGGGAAGCGCCCCAGACGCTGACCAGCTCGGGGCCCGCCTCCTCTGCCGGTGCGCAGGGTGCCACGCCCGGCTCATTCCGTTCCCTGCAGACTGCGGCAGTGCTCGGCGCGCAACCAACGCACCGCTGGCCACGCACACCACCTGATCCCCCTTCCCCCTCCCCCTTCGCCCCTGGGCCTGGGGCCGCGTGTCCTCCTGATCCCCCGCCTGTTCCGACAGCGGCAGAGGCTGCAGCGCCGGCTTCAGGCGCCTGGCAGCCCATCGGCACTCCCGTCTTAGGTGGGCGCGCGAGACGGGCATGCGCGACATGAGGGGCGCTGCCACGGGGGGCAATACGCGCTGACGCCGCTCTGTTTGCGTCCAAGTCAGCCTGGTCCACGTCTTCGGCGACCTGTTCCCTTCCTCCCTCTTCGGTGACCTGCTCCCCACCTCCCCCTCTTGTCGTATTGGGGGCCGTGTGTCCCACCTGATCCCACTGGGTGCCCTGCTCTGCCCATGTGAGCGCCGATGGTGCGGGCTGGCACGTCGACGGCTGGCGGTCAGCGCCGGCCCGTCTCCTTCCTGTTCGCTTCTTCCCCTCCCGCTCGTTTCCCCCCCTCCCATGGCGGCTGCGCCCGGCACTGCGCGACTTCGGCCCGGTGCTAGGCGCTGCGCCTTGCCGTCTCGGCGGCCCCGCTAGCCATGGCGCTGCGCGGCTCAGGCCCGGCCCTTGGCATTGCGGACGTCAGCGCATTGTGTGTGTGGCTGCTGCCCGTCTTCACGCGCTGCCGATGCAGGACAGGTTTTCTCCCTGCAGCTCACCTGCTTCCTGTCGGTCATGGGCGGCCAGTTCGTTTTGGGGCCGCACCTCGAGCTTCACTGCTGCCTGGTCGTGGATTGGACTACCACCCTGGACCTCCTCTGCATCATCTGGTGGCACAACGTTGCTCATCGCCTTCGTGGTGCTCTTCTTCCTCCTGGGCGTCGACCTGGTCACGTGGCGCGTCCTCCCCTGCAGTACTTGAGGCTGGTGTTCGCGGAGCGCCGTTGACGGCAACGCCACTCCCTTCGCCTTCTGGGACTTCGCCCTCGGTTCCTGTCCGCGGCGTGCATCCACTTCGGCGCCGCCTGGTCCCCGGGCCCAGCCCGCTTCTGGCCGCCTGAGGCCCCGCCTTCCTGCGCCCTGTCTCCCGAATTACAGGTGTGCGTAGCCCGCCTATCTTTTAGCGGAAGAGGTTCGCTCTCGCCCCGCAGATCAAAACATGTGTGTATGTGTGTATGTGTGTATATGTGTATGCCTGTCAGCCTGTCTGCTTGCCTGCCTGTCTGCCGGTTTGGCTGGCTGGTTGTCTGTATGCGTATATTATGCACTTGTGTATGTGTGTATGCCTGCCAGTTTATCTGCTTGTATGTTTGTGTAGTTGTTTGTGTGCATGTGTATACATGTAGACATATGTATATCTATATATATATATACACATTTACATATGCACATGCGGTTCCCAGACTTCGCATATATACATTTATATAGACATATGTATGTATGTATGTATGTTTGTATGTATTTATATATATATATGTGTGTGTATAAGTGTGGATCCATATATGCATGCGTATAGGAGGTTGGCGGGGTGATATCGCAGTGGAACGGAACCCCCCAACCAGGACATCAGCTGCGTGGGCGCGCAAGAGGAATGACCCCGTCGTTGTTAGGGCGAAGTCAAGACAACTGATTCTCCCTTTCTCGCCTTTCCGGCGGTGTCCCGCGGTGTCCCGCGGTGTCCCGTGGTGTCCCGTGATGTCCCGTTGTGTCCGCCGTTGCTCGGGCGAAGTCAAGACACATGATTCTCTCCCGCCCGCCCGTCCGTCCGTCCGTCCGGCGGTGGCTCGCGTTGTGATGTCCCGTGGTGTCCTGTGGTGTCTCAGGGTGTCCCGTTGAGTGAAATCGATAGTGAGATCGACAGTGAGATCGATAGTGATATCGGTAGTGAGATCGGTGTGGTGCCCCGAGGTGCCCCGTGGTGTCCCGTTGGGTGAGATCGATAGTGACATCGGTACTGCGATCGACACGTGTCCCGTGGTGTCCCGCTGAATGATATCGATCGTGATATCGATCGTGATATCGATCGTGAAATCGATGTGGTGTCCCGAGGTGTCCCGTGGTGTCCCGTGGTGTCTTGTGGTGTCCCGTCGAGGGATATCGATCGTGATAATATCGATAGTGAGACCGATCGTGAAATCGAGAGGTGTCCCGCGGTGTCTTGTGGTGTCCCGTGGTGGCCCGTGGTGTCCCGTGATGTCCCGTTGAATGAGATCGATAGTGGGATCGATCGTGAGATCGACAAGTGTTCCTGGTGTCCCGTGGTGTCCCGTTGTGTCCGGTGGTGTCCCGTGGTGTCCCGTTGGGTGAGATCGATAGTGAGATCGATTGACTCAGATGTTGGTTCCCCCCCTTCTCCCGCCCCCGCAACCCCCTTATCACCCAAAGACTGGTCGTATGTATGTATGTATGTATGTAGGTAG